AAAAACATCGAGCAAAATGCTTTGACAAGCATGAATATGTGCTGCACTTTCTGAGAAAAGTTCTACGCGGGCCAAGTGACTTTAAAATGCGCAGATTAAGGCGTGTCCGGCTCCAGCCGGATTATATGATTTAGATAGGGTGATGCACAACAACTGTTTCCAATTTCCCTGTTGACTGTAGAATAAACGTGAACTGCACGCCGTGCTTGCATTGTGCGATAACAGTGTGTGTGTGTGTGACTAATCGGCACACGCCTGGGCTAGATGTCCTACGCGTATGGTTTGCACACAGCTGATGTCGCAATGTTTAGAGATCGCGCCGCCGCATCTGCGCAGGCCCGTTCTGCGCGCTATGCAGTTGTTGTGCGTAAAACGTGGTCCGATGCGTCAGGCTAATTGAGTCATGCGTCAGGGGTGTGATTACTTGTTACGAGCTATAAAAACGCACAATCTCGCAGTGAGTCAGTGGTAGGGGGCGGGGCGGTTCTATAGAAGAAGTTGTAAACATTCTAAAATTGAGGCTTGGCCAATAAGCGTGCGTAGACAGAGGCCGACCTGAATATAGTCAGGGCACCTGGAGAGTATGCGAATGATTAACGCAAAGACAAAAGAGACTGGAATGAGGCCATTTCTGGCTCCTTAGCCTTCATAAGCCAGTCATACCAAGACCCCAGGTGATGCAGCACCACTCGAAGCCGCGGCTCGTTGATCAATCTAACTGCTGACGGGGCTATAGAGTGAGCGAGTTAGCGATCGGTGGTCGGTAGGCAACTGGTTACTGAGGCGAGTAAATCTAACCCCAGTCTGCTTGACCTAGATAACCCGTAGTACGCTTTGATCCGGACTGTATGGAGCTACTAGTGGAAGGTGCGTCGTCAGTTTATTCACCATTTCAAATACAGTTTTTCAAGCTCCTTCTGATTATAATTAGGCGGCGAATTCAACTGCGCCCTTATATTCGGGGTTTGGTTAGCAGGCTCTGTGGCACTATTTCTCCGGCCCAACGCCTCCCCTGTTTTATTATTTTGAGCACGCGAATACCAAAATTATCCAGCTTTGTTTATCTAGAATGTTAACTCCGTGGATGGAAGCGAAATATCGAGTTCCGCGATGCAGTTCAGAAGAAGGTGCTCTGACGTTTCGGAGTATCAGTTAAACCACTCATTGGCAACGGTCACAACTAGCGCAGTAGTTGTAGGA